AAAAAAAAAAAAAAAAAAAAAAGATTCAAAAAATGATTTAAAAAAAAGCATCTGCCATCCCCGCAAAAAGGAGTATTAACAAAACAAAACAAAAAAAGAGGCAACTGAAAATAAAGTCTCTTCCCCTCACTTATCTTTATTACAATTTGCTCCTGGCTTCCTACTTAGTAGCTGGAGTGATCTCAGGTATGTTGCTTAACCTGCAGGCAATCCAGTTACTTGAAGAAGTATCTAGGGGCCAGGCACGGTGGCTCATGCCTATAATTGTAGCACTCTGGGAGGCTGAGGCAGGCCAGTCACTTGAGGTCAGAAGTTCAAGACCAACCTAGCCCACATAGTGAAACCCTGTCTCTGCTAAAAATACAAAAGTTAGCTGGGCATGGTGGTGTGCACCTGCAATCCCAGCTACTAGGGAGGCTGAGGCAGAATTGCTTGAACCTGGAAGCCAGGGAGGGAGAGGCAGCAGTGAGCTGAGATCGTGTCAGTGCACTCCAGCCTGGGTGACAGAGTGAGACTGTGTCTCAAAAACAAACAAACAAACAAAAACCAAATATCTGCTATCTGGGTGATGAAAAGAAAACACAATAGAAAACTAAAGACAGAGAAAACCTACCTCATAAGGTTTCCTATGAGCATTAACTTTATTACAAATTATAGACAATCTGGCACACAGTGGGTACTAGCAAATACTGTTGTATTCTGTCTATACCAGCACTATGTCAGTAGAAATATACTCTTAAGTCACAAATGTGAGCTGCATAAGTTTAAATTTTCTAATTTAGTGTAGCCACATTAAAAAAGTACAAAGAAACAAGTAAAATTAGCTTTAGTATTTTATTTAACCCAGTATATCTAAAACATTTATTTCAAAATGTAACCAATATAAAAATTCTAATGACATTTTTTTCATACTGAACCTTAAAAATCTAATGTGTATTTTGCACTTGATGCACATCTCAATTGGACAAGACAAAAATTGTCTCTGTCTAAAATATCCTCCCTGCCTCTCTACCTGCCAAAATCCTATCCTTTCACTGATGGTCATCACAAATGTTCTTTTCTATTCATGTTTTCCTTATAATCAGTAACATATCTTTTTTCTTAAACTCACAGTGTACCCTTGGGGAGATTTTCTTATGAGGCTCACTTTATTCCATTTTATATGCCATTATTTATTTACCAGTCTAATCCCAACCTACCCCCAAATTAACAGCAACACACTTGTCTTCAAAGCAAAAGTGGTCCTTTACTCATCGCTTACCTACTGTATTATCTACCATATAGCAGGTTTACTAACATTAGAAAATCCGCATTATTCTATTCACTTTCTGCAGAAGCATTAATAGAAAATTCATTAATTCACTTACTTTCAAAAGTCATTCTTATTTGTATAGTTTTTCCCTTTCTATGACATTCAAAAGGAAGTAGGCGAGTGATGACCACCTCATAAATTCTGAAAGACTGAACATTTACAACCTCAGCTGTATAATAATAATTTAAAATGTAGCTACAAATACTAGAATAGAAGCAGTCTCAGAACCTCAGAATTGGGTTTTCAGATCACTCTCTTAAATGGGTATATTCTAAATATGTGACAGTTAAGTATAAGCATCAAAACAAAACCGGGGCCAGGAGCAGTAGCTCATGCCTCCTTTGGGAGGCCAAGATGGGCTGATCACCTGAGGTCAGGAGTTTGAGACCAGCCTGGCCAACATGGTGAAATCCCATCTCTACTAAAACTTCAAAAATCAGCTGGGTATGGTGGTGGGCACCTGTAATTCCAGTTACTCAGGAGGCTGGGGCAGGAAATCTCTTCAAACTGGGAGACAGAGGTTGCAGTGAGCCAAGATCGTGCCATTGCACTCCAGCCTAGATGACAAGAGTAAAACTTCGTCTTAAAAAAAAAAAACCCATAAAAAACATAACCAAATCTGGAAACTTAGTATACAGTTAGCCTTTTGTATCTATGGATTCTGCATCCATGGGTTCAACCAAGATTCAAAAATTTCAGAAGAAAATTGTGCATTAAAAAATATGTACAGGCCGTGCGCAGTGGCTAACTCCTGTAATCTCAGCACTTTGGGAGGCAGAGGTGGGTGAATCACTAGGTCAAGAGTTCAAGATCAGCCTGGCCAACACGGTGAAACCCCGTCTCTACTAAATATACAAAAAATTAGCTGGGTGTAGTGGCGGGTGCCTGTAATCCTAGCTACTAGGGAAGCTGAGGCAGGAGAATTGCTTGAACCTGAGAGGTGAAGGTTGCGGTGAGGCAAGATCGCCACTGTACTCCAGCCTAGGCAACACAGTGGGAAAAAAAAAAAAAAGAAAAAGAAAACAAAAGAAGAAAATGTATCCAACCTTTCCAGTCTTCCAAGAAAGCACATTATAAGAGGATATCTTTGTGATTTTCAGACTGGAAGATTTTTGACTCAATATACTTAAGGCTGAAGGGAAAATTGTAACAATCAATATATATTCACAAAATATGTAAAATTGAGAGAGGGAAAGGTCCACTGTTCCCCACCCCACCTTCTGTGGGGGCCAAGCACTGCTCTTTGCCTTAAAGAAGTTCAACTGTAAATAGTTCAAGGAATTTGCAAAACTACCTACATCCAAAGTCTAAATATTAAGAAAATAGTATTAACTATTACATAAATTGGACTTTAAAAGAATAACAGTTGTATGAAGAAGAAAAATTATGAGGGAAAGCCAATAATACTGTAATTTAAATTCTGACAGAAGGCCAACTGGGAAATACCATGTCAATTCACAACAGATGCTCCTATAATTACCCACCCACCTCAGCTTAATTCCTCATCCTCAACTTCTTTACCCATAACCATCTTAACTTCAAGTTCTCTTCCCTCAAAAGTCACACCTTTTCTCCTCACCCTATCAAGTCTTTCATTAATTACTATGCTTAACCTGTCCTCCAGCCTCATTTTCTTAATCCGGAGTCTTGAACCTAACACCTCACATCTACCTACTTATCTTTCCTATAACTCCAGGATAACCTACCATTTTCAGTCCAGTTCCACTAGCACCCCAGTATCAATGCATAAGACTCATCATTGCTGCTCATCTCATTTACAAATATTAGCAATGTCATACATGATTCACATTTTTAAGTAAACTTCAGGTGCAATATGAGTTAAACTGATTTTTATGGGTTTACAAATGTAACATTGTTTAAAACATTTACATGGAAACCTACCTATTGGATATTATACTGATTACCTGGGAGACAAAATTTATCTGTAGGCCAAATCCCCACAACACACAATTTACCCATGTAACAAACCTGCACATATATATCTAAAAGTTGGAAATCTAAAAGTTGGAAAGAAAAAAACAAAGAAAACAAGAAAAATCACCCAAAATAAAAAATAAAACATTTATATGGAAAAGTTTCTTCCAAGTTTCAAGGTACTGACTTATAGATATACATTCACTAATAATGTATATTATGGGATAAAAAACTATATACTAGGTACAACATACGCTACTCAGGTGATAGGTGCACCAAAATCTCAGAATTCACTACTACATAATTCATCCACGTAACGGAAAACCACTTGTACCTCAAAAGCTATCAAAATAAAACAAAAAACCAAAAACAATGTATATTAGACTCTGTAAAAGGAGCTGCAAGGACAAGAAATGGTTCCTTTTAATTAAAAGGTCACAAATGTAAGAAACAAATACAATATTGTAAAATGTGAAAAATGCTGGAGTGTGACAAAACATTAGGGTGGAGGTATATACAAAATACCAATACAACAAATGTTATCAGCTCTGCTTTAAATGCTTAAGAAAAAAAGTTTTGCAAAGGAAGTGGCACCAGAGTTTGGTCTCGAAGAGTTGGAGATTTGGGGAAAAGAAAATAGGATATTTCAGGAAGAATGAAAAGTATACAGAATGGCTCAGATGCTTGAAACAGCACGGTTCATTCTAGGAACAGAAAATTTCTCTTTTGCAAGAGTGTCAGGGCTGTTTATGAGCTGGGTAAGACAGGCAGCTAGAAGTAGAGGAGACTTAATATTGAAGATTATTTGTTGTGCAGTAACTATGACAAAAAGCTCAATTATACAGCCTGGAAAGAAGAAAAAATAATGACAACAATTAGACAAGTTACAAAACTATTGCAACTGACCCATGAGAGAAAAGACAAAAGCGACCAGCCAGGTGTAGTGGTTCATGCCTGTAATCTCAGTATTTTTGGAGGCCGAGGTGGGAGGATCACTTGAGCCTAGAAGTTTGAGACCAGCCTAGGCAACACGGCAAAACTCCATCTCTACAAAAAATACAAAAAATTACCCAGTTGTGGTGTGTGGTGGCACACACATATTTTAAGCCAGGCCAAAGTTTCTAGCTTTAATCAAGTGGAGAGTAACACCATAATTAAGCTAGAGGAACAGATATTTTGGACCAGTTTCAGATGGTTCCTTTTAGGTTCATGCTGTGAAGTATGGTGGGGAATTAACAATATTAATAATATGTTTAAAGCTCAGAAAAAGAGGGAAGCCAGAGACAGATTAAACAAAAATAGTTTCATAGTTTATGTGAACCTTTTAAAGACAAGAAA